TTTTGAAATTTAATTTTGAATTAATGTTTAATTTTCTGAATATTGTTTATTTTTAATTTTTGTTTTATGATTTATACTGTTTTTTTGACCTGCAATCTGCTTACAAGACATGGTATGATATTTTCTCCTCCTATTAGAAACTAAAAAGTATATTTGCATTGATTTCATATTTGTTCTTCCTTGTCTTTTATACACACACACACACACCCCACAAAAAAAAAAAATGTATATAACCTGATGTAAGATTGATACTATTTTCTGGAAATCTTTAATGACCTTTTAAATGGGTTCATCTAATATAATTATATTTTACATAGTCCTGCATAACTACCATTTTGAAAGCTCTTTATTGTTTATCCAGGACCATAGAGCTACTTCTGTTGCTTTCTGGATTATAGTCTTTGTTATTTTCTATATACTACATCTGGAGGTATAAGAATATTTCAAGTTTGTATAACTGCAAAATATTTTACCTTTAGTTCTCAGTATGTTTTCTAAGTATAAAATTCAGTGAAGACAGATCTTTTTTATTTTCAGTACTTTGAATAAATAAGTCTAGTTTCTTACCCACTTGCTTTTTTTTCTAATGCAGAATAAGATGCTATTTAATTTTGTTCTTCCATAGCTAATATTTTTTCTATGTATATGCTTTAATGATTTTTGTCTTTACAGTTAGTTTTGAACAATTTCAGTTTTGTGTATTTTGATATGATTTTATTCATATTTCTTGTACAAAAGGTTCATTTTTCTTGGAACTGTGGTGCTATAATTTTAACTAAATTCAGAAATTTTAAATCTTTAAATATTTATTGCCTGCCCCCTTCTACTTTGAGAATTCTAATTATGTAAATATAAGTTTCATGATTTTGGCAGAGAGAGAACTATTATATGACCTATAAACTCTTTCTTCATGTTTATTTTAGAAAATTTTTATTATATCCATTTAAGTTTGTAAATAATTTTTTACAATGTGCAGTCTATTATTAATCTCATGTTATATATTCATTTCAGAAATAGTTTTCTAAAATTCACTCTGTCTGCATCTTTCACATTTCAGTATTTGCAATTTTTAATTTGCTATATAATTATTATTGACTTTCAATAAAGTTAATAATAAGAAAAAAAGTTAAAGGGGGAAGGCTTCGTTAGCTCACAGCTTATAGAGATATCAGTCTAGCTGATGGCTCCAGGGAAGTGGCACACAGCAGTGGCATTGTGGAAGAAAACAGCTTGTGGTTTCCAGAAGGTAGCAGAAAATTTTTAATTAGTAAAAGCAAGCATACTATACTTTAATATGATTAACATTGTTTTCCCTAGAGTGAAGTCTTTGCTTTATAGCTTGTGGTACCCACAAGATAGCAGAAAATTTTTTATTATTAAAAGCAATCTTACTATATTTTAATATGATTAACATTTACCAGGAGTGAAGTCTTTGCTTTATTCTAAGTCAAGCTCTTCCTATACCTTATTATAGCCTTTAAAACCAAGAAGAGTTGAGGCTAGAGGTGATTTCTATATCAGAAGCTGCCTGGACCTGCCATACTGTCTGTTCCTTCTCTTTGTGGAACTGTGGTCTCCATCTGTCTCTGTCTCCAGGGTCCTGCAAATCCTAGACACTGCTTGTGCTCTGCTTCTCTTTATTTGCTTGGAGTTAGGCCCATTAAGCTCACATCTCTGACACATTCTCATGCAAACCTTTCTTGTCTGTATTTCAATAAAAAATCACTTATTTCTAAAGTGCATAAGAGTCTTTGCTCTGAACATGCACTTTTCCATGTGTGCACCTGACATGTACTTGTAGGATCCAGATTCAGCATTCTGGTTGCCTGCAAGACTGCCATCTCCTTGGTGATCTGGTGGGAGTAGTGATGGCCACCTAATCTGTTCCTCATGAAAATGAAAAGAAGCAGCACCAGCACACCTGGGCTCACATATGGTACTGGTACCAGCACTCTTCAGCAAGCTGGTCCTGATTCAGGGCTGCCTGAGTAAAGCCAGCACACAGCCAGCAGGATGGGCTACAGTGTATCTCAGGCATCCACCACTGCATCTGTTTTCCAGAGTGATTTAGTCACTGGCATTGTCATCCAAATGAGATACCTGCTTTAAAAAAAAAAATCTTATAAAGGTCTATAACTTCTAATTTTTTTATATAATTTTCTTTCAGCTTTGTTTTCTACTAAGCAATGTTACAAATTTGTTTCTCTTTCTAAACCATATACTTTCCAAACAACCCTTAACTACTGGTTTCAAAACTCAAATTGATCTTCAAAACCATTGATTAGTGAGACCAGAAAAACAGTGCTTGTTGCATTTAAACTATTTGTATTAAAGACAAATGCTAGACAAAATCTAGTCTCCACACTAAAGCTAGGTCATGTTGTCGACCCTGGGGAGGAAGTAAGAATTTCTAGAATCTTAGCTAAATTTGCTGCTTGTTGGTGAATAGTTGATAGCACCCTAGAGCAGGAAAGAGCAAGTATGTAGACTAGCATGCTGTGTGCAGAACAGAGGTCATGTGTAGGCCAGGTGCCCTGCACTAGTGAGGTCACAATGTATCCTGAGCAGCCACACCAGAGTCTCTGTACCTTTGACCTTCAAAAACAAACCTCCCCCCAGGATGACAGCCCAGAGCAGACAAGTGCAAGGTTCCAGAACAGTGGTAGCCACTGTGCCTTGTGCAGCACTGCTCCTAAAGGCTGCCTTGCTTTTGCAAAACCTTCTTGTGGAGATAAAGTCAGAGGCACAGTATCTGCAGGGGCCAGTGATCCATCCTTGCTGAGGTACCCTGTCCCTGCCAAAGTGTACTGGGAACAGTCTTTCCATTGCTTAGTGCATGTGCTCTGTGAACATGGTACTGAGTTTGTCATGGTTTCCATCAAGAGTCCCTGTGCTCAGGAACCCTGTCTATACCTCTTTTTAGTAGCAGGAGGGGAGATTAAATTCTGCTTTCACCATTTCCTCATGCGTTTTTGTAATCTTAATTTTCAGATTCTAATAAGAGGAATTCTAATTTCCACATTAATTGTGACTCAGCCCTTCGTTTTGCATAACAAAACTAAAACATAACTTTTCCTTAGTTAACAATATTATTCACTGTAGTTGCCATAAAAATGGCATATTCATTTAGAATTTAGGCTGATAGAATGCATAATTTCTTTCTAGGTGATCTCATTGGGCAGGCTATAAGCCCAGCAGGTGAGGCCTGGAGGTTGGGGAGTTACACTTACTCTCTTCCAGTTTCCCTTGAGTTTGCTGTTCAAAGAGCTGTTGTGTTTGTCCACATTGGGGTCACTGTAGTATGAGTACTCAGGTGCTCAGAACAAACTTGCCATCCTGACCAATTCTGGGTGTACGTTTCCTTTGTGTATGTCAACAGGGTGGTCTTGTCTGCTGCTGGTTCCATCCCATCTTTTTATCAGATTACATTTGTCTTACAATTAGAAAAACCATTTCCTAATGTCAAAATTAGTAGTTTCAAATTATTATGCTGTATTTATGTGTTTTAGCTTCTATTGTATATACATGTTACATGCATGTGTATATTATCTATATTTTATGTACATAAGCCAGAAAATGATTTTTAGCAAGTTTGTGTATCATCACTACAGTCACAGCACATTGTCCCTAAGAGAGATGTGCTTCACAGGAATGGAACTTCAGTTCTGGATTGCCCACTACCTCAGTGAAGTAGGCCTGGTGCATCAAGTTGGGCTGCTATGTAGGTTGTTCTTGGGCTTCCTTGACCACTGTGGGGGCAATGGAAAGAGACAGTGGTGTGCCAATCATTAGCTGTCTGGAGTTGCCAGATTTTGGAAATCTGTATGTGTTCTGTTTCTGATCTGTAGGTTCTACTGGATAAGTATTGCAGATGCAGAGCTCAGTTTAAAAATAATAATAATAATAATAATAATAATAATGGTATTTACTGGTTATACAAAGTACTTGTTTGTTCATGTAACTCATTCTAGTGACTGGTTGAGAAAATGAGTTTTTTTGAAACAAGGAACCACCCAGTGGGTACATTTGATTGCCTGAACTGGTTCACATTTGCTGACTTAACAAGACTAAGTTGCACTGGCATTTAGGAGGTACCATGGACATGGTGGCTTTGGGTTAGTTGCTCATATGTGGTTATATGACTAATTTATTTGCTTTTTTTATTTTGTATGCATTTAGTACAGGGGATACAGGGTCTCACTACATAGATCAGACTCATAGTAATCCTCGTTTTCAGCCTCCCAGGCGCTGGGATTACCAGCATGCACCACCATGCCCAGTCTCGGTCCATGCCAGCACGCCCCGCGGGCAAGGCCAGCACAGCATACCAAGGATCGAACCCCAGCCACTGCAATCTGCCTAAGCAGGCACTTAAGTCCGCTGAGCTGTCAGACTCGCCCTTTTTTTATTTATTTATTTTGTCCTTTTGAAACAGAGTATCACTATGCAGTTCAGGCTGGCCTTGAACTTACTTGGTAGCCCAGGCTGACCTCAAATTTGCAGAATTCTTCCTACCTGAGCCTCCTGAGTGCTGGGATTACAGGCTTAGTAATACATGACCTTTTGTTTTGTGCTGATCAAAGTCTGACCACCCATGTCATCAGTGGCAGAGCTGTGAGCTCCACAGATGAAGAACAACCACTGTACCATGACTGGCACTTGGAGCCACTCATAAGTGAGGATGACTCCTTGAGGGACATAGGCAACATGTCCACCACTTAGAATGAAAACCCGCAGTTGTCCACCCTGTTCATCCTGACAGCCGGCCTGGCTCAAGTCAGCAGCTTTGAGGTCCTGCTGAAATACCTCCTCCTGCCTGCAGCCTGAGAGATATGTGTGTGTGTGTGTGTGTGTGTGTGTGTGTGTGTGTGTGTGTGTGTGTCATACATAGTCCTCATCATCCCCCCCCCCAATCTCCTTAGGTCACTGGGTGTTGCTCTCACATTCGCAATTTACTCTTTTGGCCTTTACATTCGTTATGAATGACTACTTGCTTCATAGGCATTTATTATCCACTGAAAAAAATCTCTTAGAGGAAAATGCAGAGCTTCAGGGGCAGTGATACTCCACTGTCCTGGTGCATGGTCAAGGGTTGAGGTGGTTTCCAATAGCACTATTGGACCTCTGCTGTCCCCATACCAGAACCCAACCAGGATGGCAGAAAGAGCCCATGTGACATGGCCAGTGGCTGTACATGTGACCTGGACTCAGGATCATAGTTGTTTCTTGCCCTGAGACCAGAGACCTCTTTGCAAATGCAGATCACAAAACAACATCAGTGAGCTGGTGATTGCTCGCCCTGCTGGCAGTGTTTCACAGCATTTTTGCTTCTCTTTCTCCTCAGAGGCCACAAGAGAAAGCTGAATGATGAGGATGCTGCCAGCGAGTCCAGCAAGGAGTCGAGCAACGAGGACGAGGAAGGCAGCAGCTCTGAGGCAGATGAGATGGCAGCAGCGCTGGAGGCAGAGCTGAATGACTTCATGTGACTTCGGGCCCATCTCACATGCTCTGTGCCAGCCCTTTCTCCACAGACTTGTATTTTCCAGAGCTCCACATGCAGAAACACATTATTTTGCAGAAACAGGTGTTTTTAAGAGGTTTTACTATAGGAAAGTCTACTTTTATAAGTGACAGAGCATTATGAGAATTGTGCTTTGCCAAAGAGCTCAACAGAGCCTTGTGTGTAGTTGAGACTGGATCTTTCTGGTTTCTTGTCACATAGAAAAGGTTTTTTCCTTGGGAAGGGATAGGTCCCTTTAAGTACCACAATATATTACTTAGGGTGAAGACTCTGGGAGAGCCAATAAGACTTAGAGAATGACGTAGCAAGAACCTGGCATCCTGTCATGCTTTTTCACAGCTGAAGCTGAAGAGTTTTGAAGGATTTTAAGTGAAACAGCAGTGTACATGTGTATAGAACAGCAAGATGCTGCAGAAGCCTCCAAGCAACCAGCTGACTCCATGTCCCTTAGAGGACCCATAGGTGACCCGTGCCTCCAGCATGGGTCCCTTCTGAAGACTGGACTGCCAGTAGCCATGTCCTCCAACCATAGAGGTTGTTGGGGGTGGGGGGCTTCCCTTTTCTTGGGTGGCCTTATACTTCTTTGAGACATCTGCTGGAAAGATTTTGTATATCTATTTCATATTTGACCCATAAAACAGATTCTTCTTTCATTTAATAAAAGTCCCTTTTGTACTCTTTCCTCTTGGGTGCAGTGCGGAAGTTAGTGGGCCCCTTTCTCCAGGCTTCTCCACTTGTCCTCTGGGTGCCCTGTTGGGCACGGGAGGACCGTCTCTCAGCCAGTTGCTTGTCAGAATTTGGAGTACAGAAAACACAACACACCAAGGAGCTATTGAAGAGTTAGCAGGGCTTTGGAAGTCTAAACAGAACAGATAGTTGAACTTACCCTCTTAAGCTTCAAGGCTGTTACTATTATGTGAGGGGAATATTCTTAAAGATGGCACCAAAACATTCAGCATACCAAGGGTCATTGTTACTTCTGGTAATTAGTAACAAAAAGTTAATTCTGAGCCACCTGAGGAAATAGGCAGCTCTGATCCTGTGCCTGCCACTGAAGTCATTTGGCTGTGGCTCACAAGACACCCCATGAAAGAACCAGGAACGTGGTGAACTCGCTTTATATTTTGCTCTGGGAACTTGGGCAGACCAGCCTTTGTGGTGGCACCCACCACCTTCTCAGAGCCTGATCCCTGCTAAGCTTTGGACTGGAATAAGAATTGCATAGTCCACTTGTATCCTACAGCCATGGCCAACAACCTGAGCCTCTTATGTGTAGGAGAATCAAAGGTCTGATGCCTCAACCAACTTTAAGTCAGAGTTCAGTAAACCATTTATTGTCATGTGGGTTAATTAACCAAATTAAAAGTGCAATGTAAAGCTGAGGCTCCATGTTACTTGTGCCCTTATCTGCAAGTAACAGAATCATAACACTAACAAGCTTCTCTTCTATTGACTATTTTTTGAGATATGGATAGAGCTCCAGGTATAACTGGATTTAGGTGTGGCCCACATGCTCAGGCATTGAGAGCTGAATCAGCTGCTTGTCTCAAATGATGATCTGGGCAAAGTGCTCATCTGAGCTGTCAACACCAAGAACTGCAGGTCTTGGGCTGTTAGTGGCTGTCTAGAGTCCTTCCCCTGTGGTCTCCACACAGTGCAGCACCTAGCTATCTTGCCCTTGTCACAGGTAGAGGGTCCACCCTTTTAGTCACAGCCTTCTCTGAAGAACTTTGGCTCTGCCCACAGCTTATGACTGAGAAGCAATGGGAGCCATTTCTGTTGGCAAGGTGTGGCGCTCAAGGGACCACAGGCCCAGACCTCAACTCAGAAGGCTCCCATAGCAGACAGGAACTGGAGGTCCCAAATGTGCAGTGCAGGGACTGCAAAGTGTTGGCAGTACAATTTGAAGAGAGGCAGGTTGATCACAGCAACTCCCTAGTTGGGATGACCGTTTCTGTTACAGACAAATGAGCCACAGAGGCAGCCTTGCCACTGGCCTCCGGCAAGGCTCTTAACATAATTAACAGTGACCAGGGGCTGTCTCATGGGTACTGCCCAAAGTGGCCACTGTGACTCATTCTTGATTCCCAATTAAATTTTGCCACAAGAGGGAGAAGTAATTGGGTAGAAAAATTAAAATAAGTTTATTAATAGTTATTTCAAAGAAAGCAATGTTGTTTGCAATTTTATTTACAGAGGTACAAAATGCACAGAAAGCAGGCATGCAGTCTGGGGATGAGGGATTGGACTTACTTCAGCCTCGGTACTGTTGCTGTGCAGAGAACTCAGGCCCTCTGTCTGCAGCATGCCTCCAGTTGTGGCCTTCTAAAGCTGGACATTTGGTTACCACAGTGACACGGAAACTGCATCCCTGCTAGGCATTTGGGGGACCCCTTGTCCTGTTCTTGGCCAAATCCCTCCTACTTTGTAAGAGTCCTGGTTGTACTCTGGGGCTTTCCCTGAACACAGAATAGAAACTGATGGAATACAGGAGTAGCAAGGACAGGAAAGAGGCTGGGGCCTCTCGTGTGTAATAAGACTGCCATCAGAGGACCCCATACCTGAGACAGACATGGCCACCACTGCCTGCCAAGCAGGTCTGAGCATGGCCCCTTACAGTGGCCCATCTGACCTGGTGATCTGGTCTGTGGTATCTTTGGTGAGAGTGACATATCTCTGCCCTTCCTGTGGGTCCCCAGTGAACGAAAGTCTGGTGAGTGAAGAGGCTGCTGCAGGAGGAGGCAGGGCCTTCCTTCTTGCACACAGGAGCAGTGGGAATACCACTGCTGAGATGGGCAGTGCTGACTAGGTCCCCCGGTACACATCTGTTCTCCAGCCTCTGCCCTCATGTTTAAGGCAGGACCCAGCATGGGGCACATCCACACTAGCCCTTAAAACTGACTTTCCCTTCGTGCCTGTTTGAGCCACTTCACCCAGCATCTAGAGAAATGGCTGGATAGTGGAAGGCTAGCTGTCGGTGGAAGACCCCAGGCCGGCTACAGTCCTGCCTCTGACAAACTAGCTGTCTTCTCATGACTGTACAGTTCCCATGCTCATCTTCATAGTAGTTCCTTGACAGGGACATTGACCCTTCCCTCCCTACAGCTCCTGCACATGTGGTGGCCCAAGGGGCCACACAAGTAGTATACATGGGACTGGAATGGCTATGTGGCCAGAGACCAGAAAATGGCCTCTGTGTTATGCAAAGAGCTACTCAACGTTGGGAGAAATGTCTTCTGTGTCAGTTCTTATGCCTAAAGTAGCTGGATAAAGACATTGTCAGCAAGAAGCTGACAAGAGAACTCTACATAAATAAGTAATAAACTTCATAGATTATTTCCAAAACTTGAAAATTGGTAACTAAAGTTTAATGGAGTATTCTTTGTTTTCTTGCTTAAGAAGTAGAATAATGACATTTCATGTAACAGCAGGGGTAGATTTCATACCCAGAGCTTTTCATGCCAAGTTTTCAGAACAGCAGTAGGTGCTGATCTTCCAGCACACTGCTGTCAGTGCAGATGCCTGGCAGGGCCTGGGACCTACACAGGCTCCCATCCTGGCCAGAGAGTTGTATGGCATGGGTTTTGACATGGTGTAAAGTGCCCACCATTATAGTGTCACACCAAATCATTTCACAGCCTAAAAAGTACCGTATAACCCATTCATATGTCCTTGACTTCTAGTCCCTGAAAACAACTCATCTTTTTACTGTTCTCAGTTTTCTTTCCCAGAAAGTCATGCATTTGGTATCATAATTGTGTATTTCAAGACCATCTTTTTTCTTTCGCTGTCTTCCATGTCATTTCCTGGCATGATAGTGCATTGCTCCTGCTAGTATTTTATCATCTGGGTGTTCTTCAGCTGACTTACACAGTTCACCTCCTAAAGGTCATCTTGGTTGTGTCCAAGTTTGGGCAATTATGAAAAAAATCTTTGTAAACATTCATATGTAGGTTTTGTGGTGCACAACAGTTGTGCTAAGGTGCACAACTGCAGGGTCACATGGCAAGAGTATGTTTAGATTAATAAGAAATTGCCAGACTGCCTTCCAAAGTAGCTGTGTTATTTTGTATTCCCATAGTAAGGATGAAAGTTTCTGTTGCATCCAGCAGCATCCATCCAGGCTGGAGTTGCGGCCATCCCAGCAGGTAAATAGTGGCATCATGTTTAAGTTGCACCTCCCTGGTAATAGATGTGTAGCACCTTTCCATATGATTCTTTGCCATCTATGTATCTTTGATGAAGTGTGTATAAAGCCTTGCCTATTTTATACATGGTATGATTCAAAACCATACTGAATGCTTAATTTTTTTTAGAAATTTAACACATTGCCATTGATCTTCCTCAAAAAATACTCCCCAAAACTTCAACACACCCAATCATTTTTGCCACTTTTTGAAGCAATACTGAAAGTATACTTCTCTTGAGTGTCTTTTTGTGGGTACCTCAATTCCCTGAATCAGTTGAAAGCGCTTCCCTTTTATGGCCATTTGGGCAAGAGCCGGGAGTCGTGTTGTGCAGGTCCAGTGAGCAAGCTGGACGACACTGCACTGCCCTCACGAGCTACGGCGGCACTCACTCTATTTTATCATACCTTGTAAAGATACGAAGAAGGAGTTCTAGAACTTCAGAAAGTGGTAAGAATGATGGGATAAGTGTTTGAGAAGTATTTTGAAAAGGATTAATGGCATTGTGGTGTTTAGCGCAGTAATTTTTTTCATGAAAAAAGATGGTTAACATATTACATGTTATCTTTAAAGTAGTTGCTCAGGGCATAAATATTTCTCCAATATTTGCACAAACCTCCTTATTTAGTGGACTAAAAGATGCTAGTAGTATAACGGAACTTGCATTTTTCCCCTTATTCTACTGTCCTTTCTCCTTTTGTGCATCCTAATTCCTTTTTTTTTTAACAATTTCTTTTCATTTGATGATATCTATTGTACATTTTAGACTTTATTGACGTGAGTCTGATTTATTTCACTTATGAGTATGGTCTCAAGTTGCATTCATTTACCTATAAAAGTTTCCAGTTTAACCTTTATGGCTGAGTAGTATTCTATTGTACATAAAAACCATACATTTTTTTTAATCTATTCCTCAGTTGATAGGCTTTTGGATTGTTTCTAAGATTTATATATTAGAGGACCAGGAGTTTAGCTAGTGGTGCAGCACCTGTCTGGCAAGTGTGAGGTCCTGGTTGAATACCCACTACCCCCCCCCCAAAAAAAAATATCTATTACAAATTATGCTATTATAAACATGGGTACACATATGTATATTGCTGTGGTATGGTGTTTTTAATTCTTTTGGTAAGATACCCAGAAGGAGAATAATAGCTGGGCCAAATTTGGCCTGTAATCCTGGGGGGGCGGGGTTGTTTTGTTTTTTGAGGAATCTCCACCCTCATCTCCATAGTAGTTGTACCAGTCTACACTCCCACCAACAGTAGAGAAGGGTTCTTTTTCCCTGAAGCCCCTTCAGCATGTTTCATTGGTTAATTTTTTGATAATAGCTATTCTTTATAGGGTGAGATGGAATCTCAGTGTTGTTTTAATTTGCATTTCTCAGATAATCAGTGAACAGTTTTTCATGTATTGTCATTTGTATTTCATCATCTGAGAAACATGTATTCATCATAGATGCCATTTTTTGCATTTGGTCTTTGAATTTGGGGGG